CAGTGTTCCTATAATCACACTGATAAATATAAACTCTTTGAGTGGCGAAATATTCAGTTTGCAATCATGTAATCACGAAGAAACGAAAAGATTTCAATTTCAGGTTATGGCAACAGATTCCGGTGTTCCTCCTCTGAGCAGTAATGCCACTGTAAATGTGTTTATTCTGGATGAGAATGACAACAGTCCGGTTATTTTAATGCCTTATTCTGAACCTGGATCAGTTAATAGTGAGAACATTCCCTACTCTGCTGAAGCGGGATACTTTGTAGCCAAGATCAGAGCTGTTGATGCTGACTCTGGATATAACGCACTTCTGTCTTATCATCTAACTGAACCCAAAGGAACGAATCTCTTCCGCATTGGAAGCAGCACTGGAGAAATAAAGACAAAGAGACGAATGAGTGACAATGACTTAAAAACTCACCCACTTCTTATCACAGTGTCTGATAATGGAGAGCCATCACTCTCAGCGACTATGTCCATGGATGTTGTGGTTGTTGAGAGTCTGGATGACATAAAGACATCATTCAGAGAAGTTCCTGTTAAAGAGGAGAGTTTTTCAGATCTGAATCTGTATCTGCTCATCGCTATTGTCTCAGTATCTGTCATCTTTTTACTGAGTCTCGTGGTTTTGATAGCAGCCAAATGCTACAGGACAGACGGCAGTTTCAGCAGGTACAGAGCTCCAGTGATCAGCACACATCCAGACGGAAGCTGGTCCTTTTCTAAATCCACACAACAGTACGACGTGTGTTTCAGTTCAGACACAATAAAGAGTGATGTAGTCGTGTTTCCTTCGACCTTTCCACTGCCAGATGCAGAACTAATCAGCATTAATGAAGGAGACACTTTTAACAGGACTCAAACACTTCCAAGCACTACCAAGGTAAGATAAAACCTAAATTTCACAGTTTGAAAACATCAGCATACTGAACTTTTTGTAGCTTGGTAACTTTTTACTACTGTGTCAAGTAAATGTGTGATTTTAGTACAAGGGGCATTTCAGCTTCACATCTTCAGGGCTATGCGGCCTCATATTTTTCAGTTGTATTGACAATGGTGCGTGTTCAAATGTATGTGTACACATACAGATTGTTTTAAACTTTACTCCAGTGTTACATAATTGTTCTGTTGGCTTTTAAATGTGATAACTCTGTGTTGCTAACTTGTGCTTAATGCTACAGGACAGACGGCAGTTTCAGCAGGTACAGAGCTCCAGTGATCAGCACACATCCAGACGGAAGCTGGTCCTTTTCTAAATCCACACAACAGTACGACGTGTGTTTCAGTTCAGACACAATAAAGAGTGATGTAGTCGTGTTTCCTTCGACCTTTCCACTGCCAGATGCAGAACTAATCAGCATTAATGAAGGAGACACTTTTAACAGGACTCAAACACTTCCAAGCACTACCAAGGTAAGATAAAACCTAAATTTCACAGTTTGAAAACATCAGCATACTGAACTTTTTGTAGCTTGGTAACTTTTTACTACTGTGTCAAGTAAATGTGTGATTTTAGTACAAGGGGCATTTCAGCTTCACATCTTCAGGGCTATGCGGCCTCATATTTTTCAGTTGTATTGACAATGGTGCGTGTTCAAATGTATGTGTACACATACAGATTGTTTTAAACTTTACTCCAGTGTTACATAATTGTTCTGTTGGCTTTTAAATGTGATAACTCTGTGTTGCTAACTTGTGCTTAATAGTCTTGGTGTCACTGCTGATCAAATTGTAAATCACTGTAGTTGAATTCCACCCATTTGCCATCAAATGCAGTGGATTACATTTAAAATGTCAGCTCAGGGTTGATGTAATGGCAAACAAGCATTATATTTCCCATGTTATAATTTCTTAACACTGAAAATAAAAATGATTAGGTTCACTGAAGTGAAAGCATATCAATGCGTTTATACTCTCGTCAAGTCTTAAACTGTTCCATGGGAGTCAAAAAGAGGCTTGTTTTTGGAAATAAGGTGAAGGATTGAATCTTTGTAAAAGGATTGCGAAAAGTATTCAGAATGAATCGGAGTAAAAAGAAAGATCAGTGAAATTAAAAGACAATTAAAAATAATTTGTAATGAAAATATATGTTGTAAACAAACCAATAAGTATGAATGAAAAACATTTTTTAGGCAAAAGCACTATAAGAATCAATGCAAAATATAATGTGCATATAATTGATTAGTTGCTAAATTTACTATTTTTTTTAGATGACCTTTTCCCCCATTTAGCTTCATGTTGGTGTGTTTCCAAAATTTTCCACTAAATTGGTTTTCTGCTTATATATCTGACTCTGCTTGATCTTGTGCTCTATTTCACTAAAGTCTGTATAATCATTAGGGGAATTTCTATAATTTTATTTAATTCAATGTGTGGCAAACCCAGGTAAAAAAAAGAAATACACTTAAGCTGTACTAATATCGATGCACTTATTATATTTTTATTATACTATACTAAGTGCATAATAAATGTGTTATTTTGGAACAACTTTAAGTATGGTAAGTGCTGCTTAATATGAACTTTAAGCTAATTGCAATATATTTTTATATATTTAGTTGTTAAAATGGAACAACTTAAAGTATCTTTAGTGTAATTTAATTGTACTTCTTCACATTATGTAAAATACACTTTTATAATTCTTGAAGTACAGTTAGAATATATTTTAAGCTTCACTTTAATGTACTTCTACATTTTCAATAGCATTTCAGCTCATTAGAAATGCATTACCAGCACACTATTAATTTGTTATGAAGGTATGTTTCAGCATTCTAAAATGGTATATTAAAAAAGTACAAAAATCATTAAATGAACATGACATACATGCACACACTTTCACATCTAGAAAACGTTAATATACTTAGTGTATCTTGTGTACATTACAACAACAAATTCCTTGAGTACATTTAAAAAGTACAGCAGCATATATAAACTCTTGACCAAAATAATTATAGTAAATTATATTAAATTGAAATAAAGATCAGTTAAATGCTATAACACAACAACTTTAATCAATTTTCAGAACATTTATAACTGTATTCTGGAAAGTACACTATGAATATTCCATCACTGAATAAAAAAAAGCATAATGCAATTTTATGCACACACACACACACACACAAACAAATAAAGAGCAGAAGTGAATAATTTTATTGTTTGTTTTTTATTTATTTATTATTATTATTATTATTATTATTATTTACAAAGTTAA